GAATCTCGTCAATCTTTCGCTGAAATGTTTCTGGAGTCGAAACAAGGCCAAATGGTAGCCGATTGAATCGGTACAGCCCGCGGTGTGTGATAAATTTTACAATGTCCCTAGATTCTTCTTCTAACTCCAAAAGAAAAAAAAAACGCATCCTTAACGTCAAGGATGCTCCAAACCTTTCCTTTCCCAATTTTAGCCAGAACCTCATCGATAACAGGCATTGGATGCCTTTTACGAATAACGGCTTGGTTCACTCTGCGCAACTCAACACACAGTCGAATACTACCATTCCAACCACCAACGGCGATACCCAAGTTGCTGGACCTTCTTTTGTTTCAATTACATATATCTCTACGAAGCAGCTCATCTAGCTTTCGGTTAACAGCCTCCTCCAGGGGCATTGGGATTCGTCGTAACGGCTGGAACACCGGAGTAATAGTTGGGTCCATCAAAATACGTATCTTTGTATCAGCTATCTTGGAGAACGGAGAACCATTGTTCTTGGCATCCAGAACATCTGATCCTGAATCGATGAACACCTCTATCTTCACTCCTCCAACAGTACAGTCATTATATCGCTTCCGGTGTGAAAAGTAGAGTAGACTTTCTTTTCAGTTGCTGTTTTCAAAATGCCCGAGCTTCTTGAACCGTCGACAGTTCTGATCTTTTGCAGGACACAGAGGTGACTTGGACATGTGACCCTGACGACCGCAAGCAAAACAAATCCTCATATCTTTGTTAAAAGTAGATGCAGCTATCGGGAACCGGCTCATGATTCGGTCCTCCCTCCGTTCCTTCCTTGACTTTAACACCTTTTGTACCTTGCACACTTCACTGAATTCGGATCCGACACTATTTTTCTCGATTCTGAGCTCTTGCTCCTGACTCCGAACTCTCTCAAACGACTCGCCAAGTACCTCGATATCATACAACGACTGGTCCTTCTCAAGAATCCTACGCTGAAGTTCTTGAGAGTTGCAGCCTCAAGGTCAACCCAGACAACCAGAATGCACGTATATGCAAAGTTGTTTTCGTGATAAACAAACATATATACAAACAATTCGTATATAATGCAAAGAAATTGCTTATACGTACAAAAGTGGAGGCCATATACGTGCATATTTTAATTTAATTTTAAACGAGTTGATTTAACATCATATACGTTTTAATCTGTAATAACAAATCCATTTTGAAAAGTCTTACGATGTAATTCGATTTAATGTGTGATACAGTACGACGGAAAAATGATCATCGCATGTAAGCCGGAAATGTGCATTCTATACGATTTAACTTAAACATAATGCGAGGTATGCCATTCTCATATGCGATTTTGACTTAAACTGTAGAAATTTACAATACTATCTGTACATTGTTGAACGACTTCTGGTTGTCTGGGAAGGTCATTCTTGTGAAACCGCGTTGAATTTGGTATTAGCGAAGTGAAAAAATAACTTGGAGTGTAAAGATACGATTGTTGCTGTTTCTTTGGATCTAAAAATCACGCTTTTGAAACAATTTCTAGGCCCTTATTGTTAAGATCAATCAAGCGCTTTGGAATTACGAGTACTGCATATAAATGGTTTGAAAGCTATTTGTCTGACAGAACTCAACGGACTGTTTTTAATGATTCTATTTCCAGTCCCGTGGGGAATAACCTTGGAGTGCCCCAGGGAAGTGTATTAGGGCCCCGGTTATTTATTATGTATATTAATGACTTGCGACGTGTTTTACGATTTTGCTACATTAATCTTTTTGCAGATGATACTGTGTTATTCGTTGCAGCTAAGGATTAAAATGATGCCGTTTTACACTCGAATGAAGATTTGCGTTCTCTAAGTAGATGGTTGAAGTATAAGCAGTTAAAATTGAATGCAAGTAAAACTAAATTTATGGTAATTTCGCGGAATCGAGTAAATGAGAACGTCTCTGTTGTAATTGATGATGAGACTATTGATCGCGTTCGGGAGATTAAATATCTTGGCGTGATTATTGATGACACACTTAAGTTCAACTCTCACATTGAAAATGTCATCAAGAAAAATGCCAAGAAGTATGGAATTCTATGTCGACTGAAAAATGAATTAACTATTGCCAGTAAAATACAGCTATACAAATCAATCATCTCTCCTCATCTTGACTTTTGCTCTTCCATTTTATTTTTGGTCAATGCAAGACAAATTTTGAGATTACAACGCTTGAAGAATGCGTTTGATTTTTTGTTTTGTTTTTTTTTTAACTTTTGATTTGTTTCAAATTCAAAATAAATTACATTTCATTTTAACCTAGGTACTCCAGGTACTACAGTAACTTACCAGCCTTAATTGTAAACAGGTTTTTTAAACCTGCATGTCAGTATAATAATTGATATCTTAACGATTTTTGCCTAAAATTATTAATTATTTTGTCGGACATTTGTTCTAAAGTCTCAACATTCGAAATTCTATGTACCTTGCTAGTACTGTACCAGGGAGGCAACTTCAAAATCATCTTCAGAATTTTATTCTGAATCCTTTGAATTGCTTTTTTCCTGGTAGTGCAACAACTAGACCATATTGGCACAGCGTAAAGCATGGGCGGTCTAAAAACTTGTTTAAATATTAGAAGTTTATTCGTCAGGCAAAGTTTGGATTTCCTGCTTATAAGAGGATACAAACATTTTATATATTTGTTACATTTGGCTTGAATGCCCTCAATGTGATCTTTAAAAGTTAATTTTCCAAGATATTTCACTTGGTTTGACCAGGAAATTGGAACTCCGTTCATAGTGACTATGTGACTACTACTAGGTTTCAAAAACGAAGCTCTAGGCTTGTGTGGAAATATTATAAGTTGAGTTTTGGAAGCGTTGGGAGAAATCTTCAATTTTTGTAAATAAGAAGAGAAAATATCTAAACTTTTCTGCAGTCTGCTACAAATAACACGAAGACTTCTTCCTTTAGCGGAAATGCCTGTGTCATCAGCGAACAAAGATTTGTGGCAACCCTGAGGCAAATCAGGGAGGTCCGAAGTGAAAATGTTATACAATATAGGCCCAAGAATGCTACCCTTAGGAACTCCTGCTCTAACAGGTAGTCGATTAGATTTGGAATTTTGATAATTTACCTGCAGAGTTCTGTCAGTTAAATAATTTTGATATAGAGAGGAAAATTAAACTGTTTCAATTTAGCAATCAAACCTTCATGCCAAACACTGCCGAATGCTTTTTCTATGTCTAGAAGAGCAACTCCAGTTGAGTGGCGTTCAGATTTGTTTGAACGAATTAAATTGGTAACTCTTAAGAGTTGATGAGTAGTTGAATGCCCATGGCGAAATCCAAACTGCTCATCTGCAAAAATTGAGTTCGTATTGATGTGAAGCATCATTCTATTTAAAATTATCTTTTCAAAAAGTTTACTAATTGATGAAAGCAAACTTATTGGATGGTAGCTAGAAGCTTCAGCAGGATTTTTATCCGGCTTCAAAATTGGAACAACTTTTGAATTTTTCCATTTATCAGGAAAGTATGCCAAATGGAAAAATCTGTTAAATAATTTTAACAAGAGAGACAATGTACTCTCTGGGAGTTTTTTGATGAGGATATAGAAAATTCCATCATCACCTGGAGCTTTCATATTTTGAATTTTTTTAGTTATAGACCTTACTTTGTCCAAATCAGTCCCCCAGGAATCATCAAAAATATTTACCCGAGAGAAAATATTCAGACAATCCCGAGCAACCTGATTATCAATAGGACTAGTAAGACCCAAACTGAAATTATGGGAACTCTCGAATTGCTTAGCAAGTTTCTGAGCTTTTTCCAAATTTGTGATCAAAATTTTACCACCTTCTTTAAGCGCTGGAATAGGCTTTTGAGGTTTTTTCAAATTTTTTGTGAATTTCCAAAAGGGTTATACCATGATAGGTAGTTTCGTCTGACCTGAGAGGACCTGTTTTCTCATTGACGGTCGTGATATTTACCAGCTCTGTAACAGCACATACCCTAACTTCTCTAGGCCTCTTGGCACTAGCAATTTCAACCGGGTGCCCTTACACGGTTCTCTTCTTCAAATTTCCTGACACAAGCAACACTAACCGGCCCCCTGCCTCGGGTCTCTTTTTAAGGCTCCTTGCACTAACAATTCCATCCGGGCACCCTACCACGGCTCTTGTCCCTAAACTTCTAGACACAAGCAACTCCGACTGGGTATCCTACCACAGTTCTTTTCACCATACCCCCTGGAACTAAGTTTTCTAATTTTTCTTGCATAGCTTTCAATAATTCTAAGTGTATTCCAACATGGCTGACATTCAAAGGCGAAAGTAGCCGCAAAACAACGAAAACACAATCACTGAACTCGGTATTTCTGCCATATTTTCCAGTGATGAAAAAAAACCCGCACACACACACAAAAAGCTCTATTTTGTTTGAATTCACTTCAAATAATATGAATAATTACCTTATTGTTTTCCTTTACACGTCGCCAAATGTAGGATTTTAGCATGGGATTTTTCACTTCAAATCTCACTCGTTTTTCCAAAACGCACTCACGTACCGTGTTCCTCGATGGTTGCACTACTTCTCCCTCCTGTCACTCACTCAGCCGAACATTCAGCTCAGTTCGTTAAACGCTCGTGCCGTTTATCAAGATAAATACTTAACCAAGGTTTATACACTTTGTCTCAAATCCTACTTGACGGTGCTTATTCACAAGGTAAATATAATCAAGGTGCTTATTTGCAAAGTTAATCAAAGGGTATGTTTGTACTCTAAAAGCTTGCTGATTTTTCCAGATAGGACCGATAAGCTTTTAAAATTTTGAAATCATCATCACTTTCATAGTTATTCTATTCGCCACAACCCCAATGGAGAATTTTATCATCCGTGTTGAGGCATAAATGCATACAACAAGCAACAACTGAATGGTCAAAAGTTTACCTTTTGAAATTACTGATAACTACAGCTTCTAGGGATTGGGATACATTCTTTCAACATAAACACGTCATTTTAACCTATTCCCCTACTGCTAACCATATTTATTTTTCACTTCTAAACTTGCCTTGACGGATCATTATAATAATTGCTTATAGTTATCGCAAAAGTTTCCAAACACCCCCCACAGTTTATCGCACGAGCTGTTGATTGACTTCGCATGTTCGCTCCCAACACAGTTGCATCCAGCTGGTCATCCAATAAAACTTTTCCTTCTCTATCAAGCTCTCGAACCAGCTTCTCCACATTTCACATTCAATCACCGCTCAATTATGCACTCGATAAAACTTTATCTCATTTTGCATCAACAACAACAATAACAGCACCCACGCTTAACAAGAGATTAAGGTCCACAAGCGTCCAGCTTCGCTTCACAGTGTCCCTCACCCCGATCACCATCTGCCCCTGCCGCAATACCCCGTTCCCGATTTTCCCAGTATTTAATCCATTTTTCTTCTCCATCACCGTCGTCATCGCTTGCAACGTCATCCTCATCTGATTTATTGTCCACTTCGGATGAAGAAGTTCTTGGAAACTTATCACTTTCAATTATGCTTCCTCCTGCTGCCGCCGCTCCTCCCGGGTCCAGATCCGGAACGGTTTCTTTCCGTACGTTTCTCGAAGTTGAGGTTATGATTTCCTTTGCCGCAGTTTCTGCTGTTGGGAAGAAAACGAGTGGTTAATTTTATGATTACTTATCTGCAATTCCATTACCTGAAGTTCTTTTTCTGGCAAACTCCGCTTCGTTACTGGTGGCGAACAGTCGGCCAAAGTTGACAATCATCTCGTCCAGCAATCGATTGGCCGTCACCGATTTCCCGGCTTGCCGAACCTCGCTTTCCGTTACGATTTCGACTGTTGAAGACCCGGCGGCGGCAGCCGGAGAATTTTCGACGACCGGATCGACCAGTAAGTATTTGTTCTTCTTTACCTCCTCGTCCAGATAGGTTTTGAATTCCTGCTGGAAGTAGTTGCCAATGAGCCGCCAAACCCCGGTGCTGTAACCGATAATGGCGGTCACGAAAAACAAACTCTTCAGCGCTAGTAGTATCATTTTCGGTTCACTTTCCCTGAATTCAAATTGTCCAATGTCTTAAACACTCTAAAATTCACCGTCCTCATCGCCGTAGATCAAGGATTGGATGATTTCGAACGAATGCTTCATCTGCGGCCACGCCATCGTTAAGAACACCACCAAAGTGTTGGCAATCACAAACAGTTTCATCATTTCCGCAGCTGGGGAGGTTAGTGAAGGAAATCGGATTCGGTAAATTTGTTCAAATTTGATGACGCAATATTCCGACAAACCTTGCGACGACCGCATGTACTCTCCGAAGCCGGAGTTGATGTCCTCGTCGCCGGGTTGCTTCACTTTGTCATCCTTCTGGTTGTTGGCAAGCGCTTGTTTCTTGCTGTCCTGTTGCTTCTTGCCCTTTCCACCACCACCGGGCGTTTTCTTATTGGCACCGGAAGGCATAATAAGGCATCCGGGGGGAGAGAGCGAAAAAAAAAAAAAAAAGTTACAGTCTGTCTGTCCGGGGGTGTTTTGGTTGGGGGTGTTTGTGTGGTGGCTTTTGCTGTTGATCCTGGACGTGTTTGACCGGGCAGGGGATTGATTTATCGGTTTTCACTGAAAGAAAAACAAAAGTTGATTGGAGTTAGAGCATGGGGTGGTTTTTAAGTTATCCAAGTCTTGCAGTCTCAAATGAGATCATCATCTGCGTTGCCATTTATAGAGTAATGTGTATGAATATGATCATCGTGCACTGTGGGCCAAAAAGGCCTGACCTTTTAATTTTAGTGGGTTGTCCATAAGCGTTTTCTATCTTTAAAGTTAAATAAAACAAACTGTGTGTGAGATATTGATGAGATTTATATTTCGATTGAAAGGCTTATCAATACCATTATGTAAGGAATATGACATCGTTCAAATGGCCACCTTGGCTTTGCGCACAAATCTGGCTGAATATCGTTGATGGCTTCAGTAATGTTGTCTTTGAGGGCATCGGTGATTTGCGGCTTATTGGCATAGACCTGAGACTTAACATAACCTCACAATAAAAAGTCTAGCGGAGTTAAATCACACGATTTTGGTGGCCAGTTGACATTTCCTTTCCACGAAATAACCATGCCCGAAAATTGCTCATGCAGAATATCTATTGTTTCGTGCGCGGTGTGGCACGTTGCACCGTCCTGTTGGAACCACATATCCTTCACTTTAGGCCAGAAGAAGTTGGTAATCATCAACCTGTAGCGCTCTCCGTTGACAGTGATGGCCTCGCCAGCGTCGTTTTCGAAGAAGTACGGACCGATGACGCCTCCGGCCCAAAATGCACACCAAACAGTGACTTTCTGGGGATGCATTGCCACTTGGTGAACCTCGTGTGGATTGGCCTTGTCGCAAAGATTGTTCGGGAAAAATCGGGGTCTGTTTACTAGTGCTCCAAAAACCAATCAGCGAACACACGGCGCTGTCTATGATCGCTCTTGGGTCAATTGAAGCTTGTACGGGTGCATGTTGAAGCCTACGAGAGGCCCAGTTCTTGTGTGCGGCACGGAATGGACTGCCGCGGGTTCTCCTGCACACTTCTCGAAGTTATTTAAACTTTTTCTTAAGCGGTGCATCGATTCCGATCATTTCTGTATTTATTGAGTTATTTCTGAAGTGATTTATTAAGAGCTTGCAAAAGTGATAAAACTTTCTATTATGATTGAGCACTTTCCAAAGCTACTGTGAAATTTTCTGAAATGATTCAGTACTATCTAAAGTAATCGCGGAGTTTTCTGAAGAGATTTTGTACTTTCTGAAATGATTTCAAACTTTTCCAAAATGATTCAGATCTTTCCGAAGTGATTCAGAACTTGCAGAAGTAGCTACATACTTTTTCTGGAATGATTCAGTACTTTCCAATGTGAATCCCAACTTTCCTAAAGTAATTTCTTGAATGATTCCAAACTTTTATGAACTGATTTAGCAAATTCTGAAGTAATTCTAAACTTTTCCTAGGTTTTTCAGTACTGTCCGAAGTGGTGCAAAACAATTTTGAAGGGATGTAGGGAGTAATTGAAAACATCTATGAAGTGATTCAGTACTTTTCGATGTGATCCAAAGCTTATGTGAAGTGATTCAGTTCTATCAGAAGTTATTTAATATTTTCCGAAGGGATCCGAACTTTCCTGAAGTGATTCAGTATTTTCCTAAGTGACTCATATTCTAACTTTGGTAAATATTTGGAGTCGCTTCCTTGAAACGATACCATGATATTGAGCTCTATTTGAATCTACTAGAGCAGTGTTGCCATCTACCGGTTGAATTTCAAATAATTCTTGGATGGCTCTTGACTCTTACTGAAACTTTGCTGAACATTCGAAGTCACTATCATGAAATGAAACCGAGATGTTGAGCTGTATTTGATTGTACTGGAGCAGTGTTGTTATATCACAGCATAATTCCGTGACTCATACTCCAACTTTGCCGAACATTCGATCTAGAAACAGCGGTGCCGGTGGTGTAATGGTAAGCTTGATTACCTCTCACCCCAGCAGGTCTGGATTCAATCCCAGTCGGCGCCGCCGGGATGTTCTGAGGCATAACATCTCTGATCACGCCTTCCTCCGCAAGGGAAGTTGTTGGATTTTCCTCTTTCGGATATCCTCAGAGAGACGTAAAATGTTAGGTTAGCTTTTCGTAACTTAAATTCTGCCACAAATACATTTAAATAATCCAACTAAGAATTTGGTTTTCTTAAAGGCAATATAAATCCAACAAATGTATTAACATCAGTAGAGAAGCTAATTAAATATAATTTTGTAGAGCAAGGTTTTGGCTTGGCTTCAATTGTCCTTTCTCTCACTGTCACTACTGCTGAATGATTCCCTTTACCCTGCTAGATGTCAAACTATCGATCATTTCATTCCATCACTGATGACATTCGTAGATCTGGTAGCTATGTCGACCGAGGGGCTACTGTATCGATGGTTGCGTCTGCAACATCCCCCGACCGGTAACGCTGAACTTCCGGTTCCGCTTTACCTGCTGTCTCCACAGCCAGCACAGCTAGCTTCGAAACTGGTAGATGTAACAATCCATTCGAGGTCTGTACAACAGCTTGCCTCGTCCCACAACAACGGACACAATCTGGCCACGGATCCACCCATTGCTAGTCCCTTCGTCCAATATTACCACGAGATCCCCTATCTTTAGCGGTTCCGATTCGTTGTGCCATTTCGTACGGTAAGCGATAGTAGGAAAATACTTCCGGATCCATCAAGTCCAGAACTGATTGATCAGCTGTTTCGCCAATTCCCAGTTGGTCCTAGTTACTCGGTCGACTTCGGCAAATGTCTTCGGAGATTGAACAACTCCACTGGAACTCAGGTGAATGAAGTGGTTAGGAGTGAGTATGAACGTGGACGTGAATTAACGATAGATTCTGCTTCGACAAGGATCGTCAACAACGTCTCTTTGTCTGGGTTTCGTGAACTGGAAAGGCAGCTGAGCGCCGTTTTGACACTCCTTACTAGTCGCTCCCTAGCTCCCCCAAAATGTGGAGCTGAAGGCGGGTTGAAAACCCACTTGGTATTAGTGTTGGTGAACACTTCGGCCAATCCTTTGTGAATATCCTCAATTTCTGCCCGGAGCTCACAGCTGGCACCTTGGAAGTTCGTTCCATTATCGGTGTAGATTTCGCTAGGCGCACCTCGACGAGCAATAAACCGACGAATGGCTAGTTTGCAGGACTCCGACGACAACGAATAGGAGACCTCCGGGTGAAAGGCGCGTATTGATAAACAGGTGAATAAAGCAATCCACCTTTTCACGACACTTCGTTCAATCCGAACTTGTATTGGTCCAAAGCAGTCGATCCCAACGAATGAGAACGGGCGTATCCACGGAGTGAGACGAGCTGTAGGTAGGGGGGCCATTCTCGGGGCTACCGGTTTCGCCTTCTTAATCTTGCAGTACTGACAATCTTTAATGACCCGGTTAACGACTGCACGCAGCTTAGATATGTGGAACTGCTGCCGAAGCTCGTTCACTACCGTTTCTTGGTTGCCATGTATAAACTTGCGATGGTAGGCATCTAATAGCAACTCTGTCATACGGTGATCCCTCGGAAGAATTATAGGGTACTTGAAGCTATAGGTCGCGTATGGAGCTGCACTCAAACGGCTATCCACATGCATAACACCGTGCTCGTCCAGGAACGGGGACAGTTTGTCGACCTGTTGTCTCCAGTCTTCAGGGCCGCTACTGCAGCAGGGTAAACTTCCGCTTGTACCGACGACCACAAGTAGTTTTCAGCCAACTGCATCTCTTCTTGACAAAGACCTTTATCCAACTTCCTAGGCTGATTCATACGTTGGAGGCGTACATTAGCGATGAAGCGTTTAACATACCCCATGCATTTTAACAGGCGTTCCCACTTCAAAAATCTGTTAAAGTCCACCAACTGCTTACCGACGACTGCTCGGTGTACCATACTTGGGCGTAGTTCTTCGGCACTTTCGTCTGTCTGCTTCGATGACTCTCTTGGCCACTGTTCTTCCGGAAGATAAAGAAAATCCGGCTATCCGTCAAATTCATGATTATATTCGTAATGTAATTCAAAACGAAAATTCCCAGAATCTTATTGTAAACGTGAATTTCCACAAGAAAAACCTAACTGACTTGAAGAAAAGTACTATTGTTGATAAGTATTCGTCATAGTGAGGTCATATTCGAGAATTGGATTTTATGGATTAATAAAATTTAACACAAATATAATGAACACATTTCTAGATAAACATTTCAAAAGTCCTATCTGCATTGATCGATTCTCTTCCGTTAATAACTCAGCTGTTAAAGCTTTCCCTATTGTGTTTGACATTTTGGATGCTAGATAAGAACCTCCTTTATCAAACTATTTTGTAAAATTAGCGCAAATTCTGTTTGCATAGCAGTGGTTATCAAAAGAGATAGTCGATGAAGAGAATCGATCAAAGCAGATAGGACCATTTGAAATGTTCATCGAGATTTAATCATTCTCTCTCTCTCTTCTCTCGCTCTCTCTCACACTCTCGCGTTCTCGCTCGATCTGTATCGTACTCATACGCTCACTGTATCTAGCACTGCCAAGAATCGAGACGGCTAATACATAGGTGTAACAGTCGGAAGAAGTGTTAGTTTGTTTACTTAAATGAACCATGCCCATTTTGTTATGGCATGTTTGCTATACGAAATGCGCCTCGTGTTTATTAGCGAATTTCACATCAAAGATTGATTAATTGAGTAGGAAATCAGTTTGGCACGGCATTTGTGACCAGCATACACCTTCCGGTAGTATGAAACAGGTCAAAAACTGTTCAAATCCGCAGATAAAATTTTTGTTTTGAATTTCTGTATAGCAAAATAGTGAACTTTTCGTGAACATTAACGGCAAAGAACTCACCAACACTGGGAGACTGTGAGTTCCTGCCCACCTGTTCATTTTCCATCGTGGCCAAGAATACTGTTTGCGCTAGATCATATTCGTGGGTGTAAGTCCAAACCTGCTATGCCGTATATCTCAAAAATGGTTAAAGATATCGCCAAACGGACAAAATCACGTGTTTACGTAAAGACGCACTAGACTTGTTCGAAAATCAGCT